GTCTCAAGTCCTCTTCTCTCCTTCCATCACCTGGACCCCTCACCTCGTAGATACCATCATCAAGCGCCTCTGGAACCACGGTCCCAAGGCCCTCCAATTCTTCCACATCATCCTCCATCATCCCGTTTACCGCCACTCCTTATCCTCCTTTGACCACGCAATCGACATTGCCGCCCGCCTCCGCGATTACAAAATCGTCTCGTCTCTTCTACACCGGCTACGATCCATCCGTCTGGGCCCCTCCCCAAGGACCTTCGCAATCGTGACTGAAAGGTACGTCGCCGCTGGAAAATCCGATAAAGCTGTTAATTTGTTCCTGTCAATGCGTAAGCATGGCTGTTTTCAGGATTTGCATTCGTTTAATTCAATGCTTGATGTTCTCTGCAAAGCAAGACGTGTAGAAAAGGCATATAATTTGTTTAAGGCTCTAAGAGGGAAGTTTCAGGCTGATGTTGTGAGTTATAATATAATTGCAAATGGTTGGTGTTTGATTAAGAGAACGCCCAAGGCACTGGAGGTGTTGAAGGAGATGGTGGAGAGGGGGTTGAGTCCTAATTTGACTACTTATAATATAATTCTCAAAGGTTATTTTAGGACTGGTCAGATTAAGGAAGCTTGGGAGTTCTATTTAGAGATGAAGAAGAGGAAGTGTGAGATGGATGTTGTTACTTACACCACAATGGTTCATGGGTTTGGTGTTGTGGGGGAGATTAAGAGGGCTCGAAATGTGTTTGATAGTATGGTCAAGGAAGGGGTGCTTCCTTCTGTTCCAACTTATAATGCTTTGATTCAGGTATTGTGTAAGAAGGATAGTGTGGAAAATGCTGTCTCGGTTTTTGAGGAGATGGTAAGTAAGGGTTATGTGCCTAATTCGATTACTTACAATGTATTGATTAGGGGATTGTGTCATGCTGGACAAATGAGCAGGGCAGTGGAGTTTATGGAAAGAATGAAGGATGATGAATGTGAGCCAAATGTGCAAACATACAATATTGTAATTCGATACCATTGTGATGCTGGAGAGATTGAGAAAGGGTTGGAGTTATTTGACAAGATGGGTAGTGGGGAATGCTTGCCAAATTTGGATACCTACAATATTTTGATAAGTGCAATGTTTGTGAGGAAGAAATCAGATGATTTATCAACAGCTGGGAAACTGTTGATTGAGATGGTTGATAGAGGATTTATGCCTCGAAGGTTAACCTTCACCAGGTTATGGATGGGCTTTTGCTAACAGGTAATCAAGATTTTGCGAAACAGATTTTAAGATTGCAGAGTAGATGTGGCCACCTTCCTCGCCAGTTCAAATTGTGAAACCTATTTGTATGTGTTGGCCAATGAACCATGTGAGCTTTGCTCCCATTTTTATGACTTCTTGCCTCAATATAACCTTCAAGCAGCTTCGAATGGGCTTTTACTAATGAATAATCACAGGATTTTCCAAAAGTGATTTGGACTGCAAAGGCAATATCAAATCTTAATGGGGAAAGGTGGTGATGTTCCTTGATTGTAGAATAGATGCTAAACTGACTTTAGGGTATAAGAGATTAAGAATTGGGTACCCATGGATGACATTCTTATTCTTGTACCCTCTTACTTAAGTCTCTGGGGAGCTGCAGTTCCAGTTTCCATTTGAGGAGAAAAGGAAGTTGTGAAGGAAGCTGTAGGCATTCATTACATGTCATGGTATCTATGCTGATAAAGCCATAAAGAGTTATCCAAATAGAGGACAATTACATGTGAAAGAAATGAGTAGCACCTATGTCAATTGAGTTATCCACATTTTGAAACAGCATATGAGTTGAAACATATATGAGTTCATGATTTATTTTGGCCAGGATAATGGTTTTAAAAGATGATCTGATATGATTGATTTGAGGTTTGTTTTTCAAGTGATATCATAGTAGTTACCACTGAAGATGTGGAACTTGAAGTGGATATAGCTATTGGGCATCCGCTTCCAGTGCAGTCCGTGCCAACTATTTGTGTGCCATAGCTGCTAAGGTAATAAATTTGATATACGATGATTCAATGTGATTAGGTGGTTTTTGACGTTAGAAATCATGTTTCTGTGTGTGGTATGCTGTTTCCAAACGTCTATTTACTTTTTTCCACACCTTTGGCATTTGGATATTTAAGTGGTTCTAACATTAATTTGAACCTGTGCAGAAGAAGTAGCAACATCTTGTTAAGTGGCTGTTGTTTGTAAGCATGCTGTTAAAAAGAGAGTTCAATAATTTTGTTGTGCCTTGATTCTTGTTGTGTAACAGATTATATTGATTTGTAGAAAAGGAGACCGGCTAAAATGTACATGCGTTGGGTATCACTTGTACCCCACTTTAATAAAAAAAAATTTTGCTGACAAAAAAAAATTTAAGTTGAACTTGGGGGCCAAAAATGCAAAGGCCACTGACCACTGTCCTTTCCCTTACTAAAAGAAAAAAAATCTGGTTCTAATGGCAAAAAAGGATAAAAACAGTCCACGGTCCAGAGTCAAAGGTGGACTAATTGTGATTAATTCCACATGTACTGTTTTTAAAGTGATAATCGTGACCTATTGAAATTGTTTACACTTAAATTTCAACAGAAGGGCTCAAAGCTACATTGTTAGGCATGGTTCACTTGAGCCAACTCCAGTAAGCTGCTCAAACTTCTTAATTTTCTAATCAAGGTCATTGAACTTTAATAGTTAAATTAATGCCATTGAAACAGTATGTCAACGCAATTCAAATTTGAAATGCAATAAGTGAATTCACTTTGGATTACAGAAAAACATAAGCCAAACTAGTAAGATTACCATCAATGTTAAATTCATATTAGAAAGCAAAAGAAAGAAAATGTTACAAATTGATATACTACTTCCAGCAGATC